TCATATGGTCCCTGAGCACCGCCACCAGGAGTAATAACTAAGTGCAAAGCCAGAAGTAACTCCCGTGCATCACCGGGTATGACCCAAAAAGAAAGAAAAATAAGAAAAAGAAATGACATCTCCTTGACCAGGAGCCATTGCAGTCTTAAAGGAGGAAGAAAATCCCACAATATTTGTCCCATCCCAATGGATGGCCCCGTGGGACTTTAATGCAAATGAAGTCAGGCAGAGAAGGACAAATGCTGTCTGACTCTGCTCACATGGGGTATCGCGACACCCCCACACTCTCAGAACAGAGAGCAGGCTGCAGCTGCTGGGGATGGGGGAAGGTCTATGCTAATTAAAGTTTCAAGTATGCAAGATGAGTAAGTCCCAGAGAGCCACAGCCCATGTTTTACCTACAGCTAACAATATTGTGCACTGAAAATCTTGTTAAAACAGTAGATCTGTGTTCAGCTTGCTTACCATGCAAATATTCTGAAAGAAGAGGAAAGACAGCACTCAAGTCCACCAAGGAAAACACGTGTCGAAACAGTTGGGAAGGGTCCCGGATGCCAGTCCATCTAAAGAGTGGGTCCCGGGTGGAGCCCTTTATGATCCCACACCCATGGTAAAACGCCAAACTCTGAGAAAGGGTGCTGCATGGACAAAGAGTTGTAAATCTGGCACCCAGAGGTGCAGGAAATGCTTTTGCTTCAGCAGCAGAATAACCAAGAGGGCCCTGCCCCCAACGTGAAGAATCTTTGGAGCCATTCTCAATGCTGACACCACGTGGGCCATGCTTAAGTCACAAGGGGTTGGGGGGCGTTCAGTTTCTTTCTGTGCCCCCTACTCCATATGTGGCCTTGGAAGCAGAAGGGTTTAGGGATTCTTATTTGCTAACAGAAGGGGGTCAAAGCTTAAGGAGGAAGATTAGATTCTCCACTTCCTGGCAATAACGCAGCTCTGAGGCATCCAAGTGACTCATTAGAAAAATTAAAAAAGATGTGAGCATTATTTGTAGCACCCTGAGCCAGCGCCCAAAACACTGAGTTTATTCTGGAGATCAGGGTTTGGGGAACAGGAAAGGAGGCACAAGTTCAAATAAATCAGATGCAGAGGCTCCTGTCAGGGAGAAAAGGGACAGGCTTTGCTATAGCAAAAGTGTCCTGACTCCCTTCAGGGCACAGGACTGGGAAAGCCGCAAGGAAAGCAGCCGGGGAGAGACAGTGTTTGGGGGGAAGGAGAGGCTTTTCAGGTTCATCCTGCTCCACTCATAAAATCTACATGTTGGCTTTTCAGCAGACCAGTTTGGAGGACCCAGCTGTCCAGCTGCGTCTTCTCCCCAAATACCCCACGAGGACAGGAATCTGTAAGCTTTCCCCAAAAGAAAAACAAAGTAGGAAAGAAGTTGGGCTGTGCAGCCTCCATCTGAAGGCGCCAGGCTGGAGAGAAAGTGCAGTGCAGAGGCTCCATGGCCCCGGGGATGAACGCTGGTGTGCAGTGTGCACTGAGTGGTTATGTGGTGTACAATGAGTCGCATGTGGCGTGCCGTGAGTGGTGAGTAGAACACAGTGAGTGGGATTGGGTGAGTGTGCAGTGAGTGATGTGTAGTCTGTGGTATGGGGTATGCAGTGAGTGGTGTATGGTGAGTGGTATGCAGGAAGTGAGCAGCATGCAGTGAATGGATGTGCTGTGCAGTGAGTACTGAGTGGTGAGCACTGAGTATTGTGAGTGTGCGGTGAGCAGTGAGTGGTGTGCAATGGGCCCTGTGCAGTGGGTTTTGTGCAGTGAGTTTTGTGCAGTGAGTGTTGTTCAGTGAGTGGTGAGCACTTAGTATTGTGCAGTGTGGAGTGTGTATTGTGAGTGCTGTGTGGTGTGCAGTAGGTAGTGGGTGGTGTACAGTGGGCCCTGTGCAGTGGGTTTTGTGCAGTATCGTGTAGTGAGTATCATGCAGTAAGTGGTGAGCTCTTTGTATTGTGCAGTGTATGGTGTGTGCTGTGAGTGCTGTGTGGTGTGCAGTGCGCAGTGTGTGGTGTGCAGTGGACCCTGTGCAGTGAGGAGGAAATACCCTTCAGGGCAGGAAGTCTGCGTGGGTCCAGGTGGCTCTTTCATGATGCTGCTGGTGGTTAAGTTGCCTGCCAATGGCTCCTTTGAAAGTCTGAGTTTTAAAAAAATAAAATTGGGAAACTGGGTGGGGGGGCAGTAGAGGAGATAAGGTGCTTGTCTTGCATGCAGTTGACCCTGTTTCAATCTCAGCACTGCATATGGTTCCCTGAGCACTGTCAGGAGTGGCTCCTGAGCACTGGAATAATCCCTGAGCACAGCTCTCCGAGCATGGCTCCCAAACAAGTCACAGTGAAGAACGTGTTTTTAAAGGTAGCCCCTTGCCACCTCTTTTTGGAGGAGATTGTCAAAAGCCTTCACTTAGGCCCTGATGGCTGTTTCTTGCTCTCTCTGGATTGGAGCATGAGTTCCTGGAAAGCCCCAGCTCTGACAGCGGACTGAGAAGAGACAGTAGAAAGCTAACCAGAAGAACTGACCAAAAGAAAGCCAGCGAGGCCAGCCCACCAAGGCTCGTAAATGACACTCCCCAGTTCTGACAGGGAGAGGCAATCATGACCGGCAAGTTCAGGCTCTGGATCGACATTATGGGCTAAATCACTTTACTGTGGCTAACATCAGGGTAAATCTCTGATTCCCCTTGCTGAGAGGAGCAAAGCAGGTGGTCCAAGTGCCGATAAAAGTCCTTGGTCACGTGGCACAAAGGGCACCGGGCGGATCTGGATCACAGGCCTCCTAGAATGTCCTCAGAGACCCCCTCCATGCCAGTGCACCTTCACCAGCTCCCAGACGGCCATTGTTCATGCCCTCCAACCATGGGGTGATCAGGCACCAATACCCCAATTTCTCAAACTCCCAGCAACTTCTTAGTTGAGCTCGAAACCAAGCTGTGATGAGTTAAGTCACCCCCCTCCCCCAGAGTGCTCTTACAGGGAGCAGGAAACGCAAGACCACCACCCAAGGTCGGGTTTAGATCTGGGGCTCTTCCCCTCTGCAGGATGCACTTCCCAGCCTAGGATGTTGCTAGAGTCAGAGCCGGTCAGCGGGCTTTTTCTGAGTGCTGGACATGGGCTTTCCCAGGTTCTGGCTGTGCAGGGGCCTGGCCTGTTCCTCAAGCACCGCCCTCCTGCCTGCCACCTGCAGCTAAGAGGTCGCAGTGGAACAGAGCTGGTGATAAGAGAGCCCATAAGAAACCTGTCCCCAACTCTTCCATCTTTACATGATGCATGGCCCTCGCCCACAGCATCAGAAGCATCCCCCTCTCTCTGCGTGAGAAGCTAAACGGGGAGATTTCACTCCCAGAAAGCCCTGACACAGAGGGCAAAGACTTTGGTTTTCTCTCTGGTGTTCCGGAATGCATGTGGGCTAGAGCGATAGCACAGCGGTAGGGCGTTTGCCTTGCACGCAGCCAACATGGCTGACCCGAGTTCAATTCCTCCGCCCCTCTCGGAGAGCCCGGCAAGCTACCGGGAGTCTCTCGCCTGCATGGCAGAGCCCGGCAAGCTACCTGTGATGTATTCGATATGCCAAACACAGTAACAACAAAGTCTCCAATGGAGACATTACTGGGCCCGCTCAAGCAAATCAATGAACAAAGGGGGGACAGTGTTCTGGAATGCAGGCTCACGATAAAAAGAGAATTCCGTTCCGCAAGAACACAGACTCAGTGCCAGGGTCATAGTACAGCGGGGAAGGCGTTTTCCTTACTTGTGGCCGACCCAGGTTGGATCCCCAGTATTCCATAAGGTCACCTGAGCACCACCAGGAATAAGTCCTGAGTGCAGAGCCAGGAATAATCTCTGAGTATCGCCTGGTGTGACCCAAAAAAAAAAAAAAAAAAAAAAAGAAGACCAGCAGAAACGTGCAGCCATCAACTTCCCCTGTTTGCTGAGCTTTAGGAAGGGGGGTTTCGTACAGCAAAGAAGCAGTCAGGCACACCCTTATTCACTCATCCTGCAAACACTGGCCTGGCTGATGCAGCGCATGGCTGTCAGCCTGGCAGACTCTGACCTGGGGACATAGGACAGGAGTCCAGTCTGCCACCAATCTATATGGAATTCTGCAACTGGACCGGTCTGTGCCTGCATCTCCACTGCCAGCATCACCTCAGATAGCCAGAGAGCAAATGCATGGCTCTGCTTCTCAAAACCTGCTTGCTTCCAGCAGCCACTGAATTCAGCCTGGATTCTGGAAGGTTCCTCATCCAACCGCAGAGCTAGGGTTGAGCAGGCACAGAGTGAAATGGAGTCCCTTTTCCCCTCCACCCAGTTCTCGGCTGGTCTTGTCTGGTCTCCAAACATAAAATGCCCACAAACTCCTTCAGACACTCATGCCAAATAAAGAGCCAAAAGGTAATAGTACAGAGGGTAGGGCGTTTGCCTTGCACGCGGCTGACCTGGGATCGATCCCTGGCATACCTTATGGTCTCCCAAGCACTGCCAGGAGTAATTCCCAAGTGCAGAGCCAGGAGTAACCCCTGTGCATCGCTGGGTGGACCCAAAAAGAATATGTATATCTATATCTATCTATCTATAGAGAGAGAGTGCGCAAAAAGGGGAAAGGAAGAAAAAGCCTTTCACCTCATGCACAAGAGGAGAAAGAGGAAGCACAGCAGCCCTCTTCTTAGTCACATCTATGGGTGAATGATCCAGAACCATGCGGAAGGTTCGAGAAGTTCTCCTTTGCGGGGCTGTGAGTTTTTGATCATGAGAGTTCAGTCTGTCTGTCTGGTCTCTTCTCGTTTTCTGGCCCAGGGCAGCAAGAGTCTGCAGAACTCCAGCCCAGCCTTCCTTCTCCACAGGACCCCTCACAGCAGCTGTCCACCTACACCCTCTTGACCTCTAACCACATGTCAGTTCCGGCCACAGGGCTCTGATGGCCCTTCCCAGCCCTTTGCCGCTGAAGCAGCCACCAGGGAGATCCCTGCTGCATCCCCCACAGCCCGGCCGGGCGCTTACCTGCAGATGTAATTGGTCTTGCAGGAGTCCTGCAGATTCAGGCAGTTGGGCTTCTCCCGCTCCTCATAGGAGCACACGGGCACGATGGTCTGGCGCCGGCGCTCGGTGCAGGCAATGTCGCGGCAGGAGCAGAAGAGCATCCCGTAGCTGTGCTTGGCCGGCACCTTGTCGAAGAACTGACGGAGGGCCTTGTGGCACTTGCGGCGGTTGCAGACCTCGTTGGACATGCTGCTGGTGCACGGGGTGATGTAGGCCGACCTGTACTTCTTGCAGGTGTCATCCAGGTTGCAGGCCTTGGCCGCGTCCAGGCAGTTGTTCCCTTTGGAAATGTGCTCGACTGCAAAGGAGAAGCAAGAGGGTGTGATCAGTCCCAGCCGGGCTCTGCGCACTGCATGCAGTCCACGTGGCCACTGCCCCAGGCAGCACTGGGGCCACATGGTCATGTCCCTGGCAGCCCGGGAGCTCTCATCAACCCAGGGTTGGGAGCTAATGACTTAATGAGCCTGTGACAAGGATTGTGTTGAGCATATGAACACCGGAGCCTGTGTTCGTGCCTGGCACTCCCTTAGACGTATAATTAGGCGGCATTGAGACAGGCCAAAGGCGCTCAGGCACCTGCCTGACTCCGGATAAACAAGGCAACAGGAGAGTAAGTTCTCAGCTCCTGGCTGGTAAATTGAAATTAGGGTAAAAGGGAAAAAAGAGCAACAAATTATATACTTGTTCATTATACAGTATATAAAATGATGTGCTGAATGTAAGTATAATTGCCATGCAATCCTCCAGGAATATAATTATGTAATAAATGCATATAGTACATGCTAATTACTATATGATTACAAGTAATTACATGGTTATTTGAGCCTAGAAGACAAAATATTATGCCAGACTCTCTAAACAGGAAGAAGCAACTACAATGAAGCTGTAGTTAAGTTCTAGCTCACAGGCCATTGGAAGAAAACCAGAATAAATTACATTAAATTTTGCAAACCTCAATTACCACTTAACTCGCTGCGTAGAAGATATAGAATCCATGAGTACTGAGGTGGCAGATTGAAAAATTTTAGCAGGGATTTTGGAAAGAATTTCAGTGGGCTTTCAAACCCCTTGGCCTTTGGAAACTTGCAGGGCATATGCTGCCTCTGGCCTGGCTCACAGGGTTGAGGAGCCAGGTCTGCCCGTTGCATGGCTGGGGGAAGAGCCTGGTGCACGTGGGCCCCATGGGGGCAGCTGTGGGTACTGGGCAGAGCCAAGTCCACTGGGAAAAGTTCAAAGAGAATGGAGACCTGGGACATAATTCCACAGTTGGGACATAGGCCTTGCAATTGATTCTCCACACCACACAGCCTCCCACACATCACTGGTTGCAGTTCTGAGGGCCCCTAAACACTGCCGTGATGGCCCTAAAGATTCCAAGCACCTCAAGACTTGAGGAACAGCACACTCCAAAGTCCTACCTCAACTGCCAGCGAGACTGACTGAGCATGCCTGGGAGTGAGCCCTGGGCTTCCTTTGACTCTGCTGCTGAGTAGGCAAGGGAAATGGAACTCCATCAATACAAGTGTTTTCATGTGAGATGAGGCATTGGGAGCATTGGAGAGAACTTCCAAAACCAATTTTTTAAGGAGGTTCATGGAAAGGGGATCAATCAGTGCAGCAGTAATATTCCTGAGGCAGTAGAGGCAGTGTACAACATCCTGCAGTGTCCGGGAATTGGGCCTCCGCACTTCCTGCTCCATCTCAGCCACTTCCGGAACTCTCTTTTAGTTCCCAACAGGACTTTACAACCACTAAAGAACTAAGGAGAGAGGAGCCAACTCCTGCAAAGTCTCAGTGGAACTGAAAAGCAGGTATTTTGTCCAGGTCTAAAGGGCCCAAGGCTGTGGGTTCAACCTTCAAAGGAGGAGGAAAACACTGCCAGAAGAGATGACATCATACTGAGGAAAGGGATCCAGCCATGGGTCAGATAATGGCCAATTCCTAACAAGACAGACCTAAAATGCTACCCCTGAGAGATGCAGAAAGCAGCACGAAGGTTACCCAACACTAGGTCAGGGGGAACGGGAAGTCATTATCCAAGGGAAACATGTTTTAGTTAGAAGAAATGGGTAATGGGCCGGAGCGATAGTACAGCGGGTAGGGCATTTGCCTTGCACGCCACCAACCTGGGTTCGATCCCCAGCATCCCATATGGTCCCCCAAGTAAATGGTTCCCCAAGTAATTGGTCCCCCAATTACCAGGAGTAATTCCTGAGTGCAGAGCCAGGAGTGGCCCTTGAGCATCACTGGGTATGACACAAAAAGGAAAAAAAAAAGGTGGGTAAGGGGGATATGGTGCCACCAGCAGCCTGTGAGGCGAGTGCATCAGCAGCCTGATGGTGCATCAGACTTCCAGATACCCCAAAATTGCTGCTGTACCTTTGGCCAGACCCCAAAAACTTGGGGCAAAGTTTATCAAGAAAGTAAACGGCCAAAAGTTAGGTATGTGGGAAACACACCCACAAACCACCTGCGGCTCCAGCTATATAATTGGAGACATGGCCTCTCTGGTTCCTGATCCAGCTGCTTAATGGCCATAATGCCAGAGACTCAGAAACAAATCTCGAAACCAAATGGCTTTTGGCAGAAATGCGTCCAATCCCTACAGTAGGTTACAGGCACTGGGCCACCCCAGGTGGGAATAGGTTTCGTGCCTTGGCCTGTTCCCCCTGGTGGCCTGGTGGCCGCCATCCTCCAGAGGCCGCTGGACAGTCAGGTTTGGGCCCGCAGTGATGAGACAAGCGGGGCCTCATGGGATGGGGGTGGAGCCAGCCCTTTCCTCCCTGTCCCAACAAGACCCTGAGATGTCGCCCACGAACGGCCTCTCTGGTTCCTGATCAAGCTGCTTAATGGCCATGATTCCAGAGACTCAGAAAAAAATCTTGAAACCCAGCAGATTTTGGCAGAAATCCCTCCAGATTTAATTGTTAAAATTTCAGAATTTCAAAATTGCGTGGCCACTACTGCAGCCACGCGACATCATATGTTATTCATAACCAGCAATAGAAAACAAGTTGTCTACTGTTGCCTTTTCAGCAGATCTGAGTGTTGGGGTAAAATCCCAAATAATAATGGTGGGTTTGGTGTCAAAATATTGAATGTAATTAAAGTAGAGAGAGAGTAATGTGGAAATCATTTGCCCCACAGGTAGGGGGAGGGTGCGGGATGTGGGTATACTGGGGTTTTTGGTGGTGGAGAATGGGCACTGGTGAAGGTATGGGTGTGTCATTGTATGACTGGGACTTAAACCTGAAAGCTTTGTAACTGCTCTCATGGTGATTCAATAAATAAAATTATAAAAAATGAAAAAAAAGTAAGGTGGAGTTCATGCCCAATTCAATCAGCTAATCAGTGGCTGAATAAATAGCAGTACTCATACATAAAAAAAAAAAATAGATGGGTAAGTTCCAGAGGCCAATCTGCAGTTCACCAGATCGACAGTGACAATACTGGATCAGGCAGCAAAATGCCTGCCAGGAAGAAGAGCTTGTGAAATGTGTGCACTATGAGAAAAACCAGAGAATGAATTAAATAAGAAAGTAAAGAGTACCCCAACAAAGTTCACATTTCGGAGGAGAAAACAACTCTCACCAGTCAGCTACAGAAGAAAATCTAGCAGGGACAAAGCTGAAAGCAAAAAGAAGTGCTGCCGGCCCCACAAGAACCCAGCCCACGGAACGTGGCAGGCAATCCGCAGGAGACACAGCCCTTCCTGGGGTGCCACGCAGAAAGGTGGCTACATGCACCTCTTCGTGGGCTTAACGAGCAGATCTGGGGCCCGTTCTCCATCAGCATCTGCCCTGGCTGGCACTTCCATCTCCGACTCAGGCTCCCCAAATGCAAGACTAACATATTCACCACCTGCCCTGACAGTATCCCCAGGGCCTCCAAGCCCAGTGACACTTCCAGCCTTCTCCTCTGCTGACACATCTCAGGCTTTGCTGTGAAGCCCGAGGGCAGTGATTTATATTCTTGAAGGCCTATGCTCTCCAGGAGATCTCCCCATCATGCATATTTTATAAGACTCTAAAATGAATTAATGCCACCATATTCTGGATCATCTGGATAAGGGCCTTAAGGCTGGAAGCCAGTACCCAGTGTCACCACCTGTATTTACTCTTGTCTTGGTGTTAAATGTTCCTTTGTGATCTCTGGCCAGAAAGAGAACAAAGACACTGAGGTGGACCAAAGACATTAAGGTTGTCATGAGTGACCAGTGAATCAACATTAGTGTCAATCCAAACAGGGGGGAAATGGCAGCGAAGTGAAGGCACTGAAGGACCCCAGATATCCAGGCTGTTAGCTTCTCTAAGTTCTTTCCAATTAGACACATCAATTAAGCTCCAACTGAACAAAATCATCCGTTCTATTATATGAATGCCATTAACTTGACTTTCATTGGTTTCAAAGTTTACTTCAACTTAATTTGTACGAGTGGCATTTGAAGTTGCGTAAAAGCATCTATGCTTCTAGGTGCCTATATTTCAAATACATTTTAACAATAGTAATAAAACTCAACACACTGAAATCCCAAACATTTACTTCTGAGTAGTGTTTATACTACTTGAAGTTCTTAAAATTGGTTTTAAAAGGTGACCTCTACATAGGGTGTTGGCAACGTTTATTTGCTTTAGACACAAATACCAAAAGGAAAAACAAATAAATAGATTCCATCAACCAAAGTGCTTCAATAGGGTCTGAGGATGGGGTGCAGTGGTACAGGTGTGAGCCTGAGACTGACACTTTTGATCCCCCAAATAGCTCAATGAGCAACTGAGCACAAGGCAGGGAGTATATCTGACTACTGATGGGTGTAAGGTCAAAACAAAACAAAAATTAGGATTTCAGAACACACACAAACACACACAACTTAGACCAAGGGTTTAAACAACTTATACTCAGTGGTAAAACTCATGTTTTAATCTATGTGCACACAAAAGAAATATTTCAAGTGCTCTTATTTCTTAATAACAACCCCCCACAAAGAATATGATTAAAAATATACAAAGATATCAGGTACATGGAAAGGTTTTAATATCACTAATCATTAAGTAAACACCAACCCAAACCATAAAGAAATACCACCTCAGGCCTGTCAGAAGACCCATCAACAAAATGATGAAACAGTAACAAGTACTGGCAAAGGTACAGAGAAATGGCAACCCTTGGGCACTATTGTTAAGACTGTGACTGGCATAGTCACCCCAGAAAATGGCATGAAGTGCCTGCACAAGATCAAAAGCAGAGCTATCATATATTTCAGGAATTCCTCTTTGGGGCATGTCTGCAGACCCCACG